GGCCTCAGCACTGAGATCCGGGCCTTTGGCTGCTGTTTAGAAATCAAAGGGGAAGCTTCTGGCTGGGGCAGGAAAGCCAGGGTCCTGGCAGGAGAGGAGGCCACTGCCGGAAACCAAACACAATGACCATTTACCATGGGCCCAGGGAGGGGCGGGGAGTCCCTGTCCCTCCTGCCAACACCCCCCCAGGCTGATTTCCTGGTCTCTGTGGCGTGCCAGGGCAGAAGGGCCGGCTCGTGGCCCCTGTCCTTTCTGGAAAGCACCAGGCAATCCCTGCCTTCCTCCCCGTCCCGTGTCTAGCCTCCGCTCCGGGCTGCCGGGCTCCTTGCACATCCGGATGTCCGCTGATCGTGCAGCCGGCCTCCGGGCGCTCACCTGGGCCCTGTCCTGTGTCCAGGCAGGCCATTGCCTCACCTGGCAAAGTTCCCTGCTGACTGTCTCCCACCTCTGTCCCCCGCCCTAAGAGCAGGTGCTGCGGCCACAGGGAATCGGGGCCCTGAGAGGTGAGGGACATGCAAGGCCCAGTGGGAGCAGCCGGCCGGAGGGCGGAATGTGGGCGGTTCAGTGGCCGCCCGCCGTGGGCTGCCCGCAGGCATGGAGCAAGGCCCTGCAGGGAAGGCTCTGGGAGCCTGGGGGAAGAACCAGAACCAGGCCCCACCGGCACCGGAGCCCCGAGGCCCGGAACCGGCTCGTGCTTCCAGGCCAGAGGACGCCAGGGAGCTTCGTGAGGAGCCAGCGCGGCGTGGCCGGCCTCGGGGGGCCTGGGTGACGCGTGCTCAGAGCACTTCGTGTCCACGCGTGAGCGGCCAGTCGTCCATGTAACCGATGGGGCAGTGGGCACTGGAGATTAAGGTCCCACGGTCACAGCAAGTGGCAGAGGCTGGACACGGACCCAGGCGGTGTAAGGGCGAGGCCAGAGGCCAGCTGGTGGGTGCCTGCCCCGCCCCTGTGCTTGGCTGGGGCCCCTGAGCCCCGAGGGGCGTGTCGTGCGCTTGTGTGCACACGTGTGGGTACCGTAGTCTTCGGGGAGAGCTTCCTCCGGACCCCAGAGGGGCAGCCTTCAGGAGCGGGCGTCTGGGGACCCTCGGGTCCTGTCTCGCTTTGCTCCGCAGGGCCCAGAGGAGGGGAAAGGGGGTGCGGTCGGGACAGGGACCACCTGGGGGCCTTCTGAGCTGGCTCCTGGGAGGCTCGGCGGGGTACCGGGGTGGATGGGCTGTCGGCCCGGAGGGTGTCAGAGCCGGGGGCACAGCTGGGGTCCGGTCCTCCACCCGGACTTGGCCCTTCCCGGCCCAGCCTCCTGGTGTTGAGAGGGGGCTGACGGCAGTTCTGCCCTGGGCCTGCCCGCCGCGGGGGCAGTTCCAAGCGCTGCACCAGCCAGGGAGAACTGGCTCCCAGGGGCCACTGGCCGGCCGCCCGGACGGCTCCCACGGTGTGACACTGCTGTGTCCACCAAGTCCTGGGCGCGGGCCTCTGGCCTTTCATGCCTAGAACACCGTGTTCCGGACACCCGGCTCCAGGGGGCGACTCCAGTGCCGAGTTGCAAGGCAGGAGCTCAGCAGCCCGGGCCTGGGCCTCTTTGCAGCCAGTGGCTGCTGACCGGCGCTGCTGGGCGGCCAGGCGGGTGCTGGGCCAGGGCCTTGTGGGGCGCTCTGGGCAGTGGGTGCCGCCTTGGGGTTCCCTCTTCTGGGATGCCCATGCCTAGAGGCACAGCGATGTCATTTTGAACCCAGGGTCAGGGTCAGGCATGCTGGTCAGGAACTTGGAGCCCCCTAAAAGGAAAGAGTGTGGGTTCTGGAGCGGGGAGCCCGCCGGCCCCTCGGAACGCGGGTCCCGCCTTGCTCCTGCCCTGAGCTGCAGCAGCCTCCCGTCGGGGCCTGAGAGTGGCGCCAAGCCCTGATGGGCAGCTCACGGAGCCCGGCGCAGGCCACGGCCATGCTCGGACGGGCCGGGGCGTGGCTGCAGCCCAGACCCCAGGTCCGAGGCTGCTGGGGCCAGTCCTTGCCTCGGGGCCCTGGCCGTCCGCGGAGGATCTGGCCACCCTGCCGCCTCGGCTCTGCGGCCGGGAGGCTCCTCTCGAGTCTGGCCTCAGCCACGTCTGTGTCAGCAGGGCAGGACTCGGCTCTGGGGCCACGGGCCGCAGCCGGGCCCGGGCGTGTCTCCTCGGCCCGGAGAGTCACGGGCCAGGGTTCAGATCCCAGCCCTGCTGCCCTGCCTGGCTCCCGATGGCCGCGCTCCCTGCCCGCTTTCTTCCCGTGTCTCTGGGACGGCCGTGTGACCGGGGGCAGGGCTCAGCTGCCAGGCGTGCCCGCGCGGGCAGCTTGGGGGTCCCTTCCTCCACCCAGGCAGGTTTGCCTCTCCTTTAAGCGCCACTGAGCAGTGTGGAGACTGGGGGAGGCCCTCAGGAATGGGTCAGCGTCTGTGGGGCTCGGCACTGGCTGGCCCCCAAGCTCTGTTTTCTGGAGTTGCCGAAGCTGCCAGCCACCCTGGAAGGTCCCCAGTCGGCCACCTCTGGCCACGGTGACGGGGCCAGGACCACGGCCCACCTGCCCGGTGCCCCCCCGAGTCCTGCCGTGACCAGGGTCCATGCCTGTGCCCCGGGCCCAGGCAGTGCCGGGGGGCGCTGCGTCCACCTTCCTCCTGAGCAGAACGGGCCCGTTGCGCTCGGGTCAGGCCACCACCTGGTGTGGCTGGGCGGGCGGCGCCTGGTGCCTGCCCGCCTGGACACGGGAGCGGGCGCCCCGCCATCTGCCCTCCGGGTGGTAGGCAGCGGCGTGTGCAGCCTGCCGGGGCCTCAGCCCCGGCTGACCCCGAGGAGCGTCTGTGGTTGGGTCACAGGGCCCAGTTGCCACTTCCCCGGGGAAGTGCACATCTGAGCCGGAATGGGTGATGAGGATCGGGGGGCCGTCTCCACCGCGCAGCTTGGGTCACCTCCTGGGAGAGGTCCAGGCCTGGGGAGGGCCCTGGGGACCCCGCTGTCCTGCCTGGTGGGGCTCGGGCTGGGCCTGCAGTCCGCCAGGGACGCAGCCTCCTGCCCGCCTGTTACCCCGAGAAGGCCGATCAGGTGACGCCCCCCAGGCCTCCTCCTGGACCCGGCTCCGGCTGTGCTGTGAGGGGCTGTGGGGCCCCGCCCCCGCGCCTTCTGCTCGCTGGGGCGCTGGGTGCTGGGCTGCCTCCCTCTGTCCCCACTTCCCCTTGGGTGACGGCAGCGCGGCCAGCGTGTGGGTCCCGGGCTGGTCACACCGCCGGGGCTGCCCCCGACATGGCGTCCATGCGTCCTTCTGTCCCCCAGCACCTCAGCCCTGCCTGCCCGGACACCCCTGGGGCGCCTGCCGGAGTGGGGTGCCGCCTGCGCGTCTGCTCCCGGCCTCGCTCCTGACTCGGGCCAGGGCCGCCTGCCCCGCGGGTCCCGGGCAGAGGCCGGGCTTGGCGGCTTTGCTCTGGCCCTGGAGGGGCCGCTGCCCGCACAGCCCTGCTCTGCCACCTCCCGCCGGCCCCGCGCTCAGCCCTGCTCCAGCGGCTGTATTCCGGCCGCCGCTGAGGGCCCAGGGGACGGGTCAGCGCCCACAGGCCGCACAGCGCCCCCTCTGTGTGGCAGGGCGGTGACTGCCCCCCCAGCACGTGGGGCTCTTAGCGTCCTGCCCCCCCGCAGGGGGCCCTGGGTGGGGGAGGGGCTTGGGTCACATGACGCCGGGCAGCTGGCGCGGGCTGGCTGGGGAGCGCTATTCAGACCCCGGGGATGGTGCGGCCTCCCGGGCCTCCCGGGCAGCGCTTCTGTCCAGCAGGCATGGCCGGAGTCCTGGGAGCAGGGTGCTGTTCGGGTTCCCAGGACCTGCCATCCAGTGCCTCTGGCCGGCCGGTCCCGCCAGGGTGGCTGAGGGCAGCTTGGACACTGCCTGGCTTCCAGCTGGGCCACGGTGGCGAAAGCCCCCGGGGAGGGCAGCCTCTCGGCCGCGCCAGGGGCCCTGGTGGGTGGACAGCAGCCCTGTCGTCACTGGCCTCACGGCCGGCTCCTTGGGGGCTCCGTGCGGGGAGGGGCAGGGGAGAGCATCTGTTTCAGTTTTTCTGCGTCGGGAGGAGGAATTTCCCCCTCGCAGGGCGGGCCGGAGCCCCCAAGCGTGGGCGGTCAGGGTGTGGCCGTGGAGGCTGCTCTGGGGGTCTCGGCCTGCGGCCTCCACTCTGACTTCAAGGAGAGGGCTGGCTCCTGAGGTGGCCGCAAGTGACCACGGCGCTTCCCGCGGGTGGGCACGCGGGAGGCTGGGCGGGCAGGAGCGGGCTCGGGCTGCGGCTAGGGGCCGCCAGAGCCCGCAGGGGGGCCGGAGGCGAGCGGTCCGGCCTCGGCCGAGGGCAGGGGGACGCGCGGCTGAGCTGCCCTTCCCTGAGCGTCACGCCCACGGCGGCTGGGGCGGCGGCCTGCGGCCTCCGTGGCCGGCGGTGTTGACTGCCACAGCCGGTCGGTCTCTCTGCTCCCAGGCCCCCCACCGCGAGCTCCCGAGAGGGGCCCCTGCCCGGGGGAGGGCACTGTCTCCTAGCTCAGGGCCTCTCTCTCCCGGAAGGTCGGGGGCAGCCTGTGACCCGCTCCGGGCTCAGCTGAAGCCTCGGTGTCGGGGTCCCGGGGCCCCAACTGCGGTCTCCTTCTCCTGACCCCCGCACGAGTGCAGACGGAGCGGGACTGCTGTGCGCAGAGGCACAGGGCTTGAGTGCACGGGGGGAGGAGGTGGCCAGAGCGCCCACGCCTACTCCGGACCCGGCTGCTGCGCCAGGGCGGGCTGCTGGGGCGGGGCACAGGCCTGGGGCTGGGGGGCCCATGCCTGCGGCGCCGTGTTCACCCCGCGGTCGTCTGATCACCCCGGGGTGCGTGGGTCTGGTCCACACCCGGCCGCCGCTGGCGGGGTGGGCGCAGTGCCCACCTGCCCAGGTTCTGGCGGTCCCGTGGCTCTGGTGTGTGCCTCATCGGGCCGCAGGCCGCCGGGGCAGGCCCTGACCCTCTGCTGTCTTCACAGAGCTCCACGCAGGAGATCGGCGAGGAGCTGGTCAACGGGGTCATCTACTCCATCTCCCTGCGCAAAGTGCAGGTGCATCAGGGGCCCAACAAGGGTCAGCGCTGGCTCGGGGTGAGTGTGGGAGCCCAGGCCCAGCTGCCTCGGGCCCCGACCCTGCTCCCCAGCCCCCCGCTCAGTGTCCAGCCCCGGCGGTGGGCGGCAACAGAATCCCTGCAGACACCACCTCGGTGTTCTCGGTGTGCCCCAGTCTGCTGTCACTGCCCTCCCCAGGTCCCCGGCGGCCCTCCCGGCCTCCGTCCACGTCACCGTCACCCGCGGAAGGGCTGGGAGCGCGGGCTGCGCAGCCCATGAGCCCTGTCAGTTAGAAGCTTGGGTGCAGAACATTCTAGAAGGGAGGCCAGTTACCACGGGGATCGGTCTGTGGACTGTGGTCTCATCTCCGGTGCTGTCCAGTCTCACTGGAGACACGGACAGACCCAGCTGACCCTCTCAGCTGAGAGCACCCACATTTGTGGAATTCGACTTCCAAGACTGAGCAGCCTCCGCCGGGGTGGCCCCTCTGCGCGCGTCTGGGGTCCTTGAGGGCCAGCCTCGCTGGCCGGCGGCCGCCTCATGGGCCTCTGGTGTTGCTTCACGCAGTGCGAGAGCGAGTCGGCCCTGAACCTGTATGAGACCTGCAGGGTGCGCACGGTGAAGGCGGGCACGCTGGAGCGGCTGGTGGAGCACCTGGTGCCCGCCTTCCAGGGCAGCGACCTCTCCTACGTCACCATCTTCCTGTGCACCTACCGCGCCTTCACCACCACCCAGCGGGTGCTGGACCTGCTGTTCAGAAGGTGAGGGCCCCCCCCCCCCGAGCGCCCTGCCCGTTGGTGTCCGGGAGACGGGGGCGCGTCGGTGCCAGCCTGGCAGGCCGGTTCTGGGTGGGTGGTGAGCGTGGGCAGTCGGACCCCCGGGCCGTGCCGCTTCTCAGTCCCCGCTCGCCCCTCCCTCCCGGGGGCGCAGCCTCGGCCCCCGCCCCACGGCCGTGGCTCACTCCGCCTCCAGCTTTCCCAGGCGTGAGCTGGGGGGCTCCGGCGTGAGGCCTCTGCCGGGCGTGAGGCCCGGCCCGTGAAAAGCAGCCCAGAGCCCCTGCCCTCGCCGGGCCTCCGTTCTCGTGGGGGTAACGCTGGGCCTCATAGCAGGTATGGTAGGTGTGACGCCCTCACGGCCTCCTCTAGATACGGCTGCGTCCTCCCGTACTCCAGCGGGGACGGCGGGCCCCAGGACCAGCTGAAGGAGTGAGTGGACGCTCGCGGGCGGTGGCTGGGGTGGGGCATGGCAGCGGAACCCTGACCCCCAAACCCCGGGATTCCCTAGGGGCCGCGGCCTGGGCTTCTCCCACGGGAGGGGCAGAGCACGCCGCTCCCCACCACGCCGCCGGCCCCCGCGCCCCCCGCGGCCTGCACCGGCCGGGAGGGCCGTGGCTGGCGGCCAGGCCTGACTCTGCTGTCCGCCCCCCCAGTGCCATCTCCTCCATCCTGGGCACCTGGCTGGACCAGTACTCTGAGGACTTCTGCCAGCCCCCCGACTTCCCCTGCCTCAAGCAGCTGGTGGCCTACGTGCAGCTCAACATGCCGGGCTCCGACCTGGAGCGCCGCGCCCACCTCCTGCTGGCCCAGCTGG